AAGACTGATCTTGTTTACCTCTGTCTGAAATCAAGGACCCATTTTTTCAAACGTTACATTACTTCTTTAGTTTTAATGGCAGAACAGAACCCGATGTCTATACTTCAGTGTGTAACATCATGACTTCAGGAAGAATAAAGTGTAATGGACTGCACAATACCTTTCCATTTAGATTCAGCCGTTATTATCCATCTATTATGATATATTGATATATCTAGTTATGATTTTGTGCTGTGTAGTACTCTTTCTGCTAGTACACATAGTATTTTGTTCATTGTGCCACATAGAGCGGACAGTCAAAGAAATGTCTTCCTGCAGGCGGCCAGTTATGACTTTTGCCTGCCACTGATGGTCAACGGGGTGAGATGGCCCACTGCTCCTCTGTCTCCTTTACCCGCTCCGTCCTCCTCTTCCACCTCCTCCTCGCTGTCAATTAGCAGCAGGAAGCATGTCATCAAACCTCTTCCCCCGTCTGTCACCATGGCGACACCACAGTCGCAGCGCATACAGGCCACAGGTGGGGTCATTAATGTGGAGTTAGAGTTCAGTATGTGTGTGCGTACCTGTGATATCTGTATTTTAAATGCTGTTAACTGGAATTGTTCTGCTGGAATGAAACTGAAGCTGGAATACTGTGACACATTTCACACATTAGGTTCACATGGCTAAATGTAATAATTTTTTCTCTCTCTTGCTGTTTTTAAAATGTTTTAGTGTTGTGTGCCCCACTGGAAATGTCCCCGTCTCGCCTTCAGTTCCATGTTGAACCTTTGGCACCACAGTCTGATGTTTACACTAAGGTATCAACAAGGGTATATCATATTTTTCTCTTTATTCTTCAATTTTCTTACTCTCTTCCTTTTTTCTTCCATGTTGTTTTCATTTTTACTTCCACTTGTCGTTTTTGTGGATTGTAGCATCATACTGAATATCTGTCACCACCTTCTGACCCGTAAAACAATTTTTTTTCTCATCTTCTGTGTTTTCTGATGTCTATTCCTTTAGTCTCATTCTCTCTTTTGCTCCTCTCTCCCCGTGCAGACAGTGGAGCTGAAAGCAGTGTGCGAAGAGAGTGTTGTTTGGCGTAGTGGTGTCAGGAAGCATGTAAACTGGTGGTTTGACTGCAATGCAATAGTGCTACCAACAGAGGACAGAAGACAGGGAGAGCTATGTACGGTGTCTCCATCATCAGGCAGTCTGGGGCCTGGTCAGTCCATCTGCTTGGCGGTCAGCATCAGCCCTGAGGCTGTCGGAACAGGTGAGAAATTATTGGAAACACACACACACACACACACACACACACACGTTATGATGGATTACTTTATCTCTCACTGCCTTCCCCTCTCTCACATTAGTCATGTCATTGTAAATATATTTGTCCTCTTACACACGTTCAGATCAAACCAGATAATGCACAACACAATGTCATAGCTGTAAAGCATAGAGTGTAACATCCTTCAAAACATGATTTCAGAAGTAAATCTAAATTAAAAGAATACTCAAAGAATGTCCTCATGCAGCTTAGGTCATTAAATCATGGGGCCTTAATAATCCTAAGTGATGGACCATAATCATTGAATTATGTTTCACCCTTGGACCCAGCCACTTAAGGCAATGCTTAATCATGTCAAGCTGAGACACCGGTTGTTCTTTTCCATTTCTGTCCAGTAGTTAATAATGCTTTACTTTTTCCATCCTTAATGGTCATAGTCTAAGTCACCCCAAACCCAAAGTACAGCCACTAAGACTGTCTGCAAAATAGTTACTGCTTCTTTTTTTAAAACAAGAGTCAGGAGAGTGAGAGATGGCAGAAACAGGCTGTACCTTTGTCCCATCCTCCAGCTCCACCTTATCCAGACGAGGGGACTACTGCCCAGCACTCACTGTGTATATGTTGGATAAAGCTCAAGCACTGCGAAGACCTGTGTGCTCAACCTGATTTGTACATTTTCTTCTTCTAGGTTCTGGAAGGGTGACCAAACTTTCCCTTCCTCTTTACCTGGGAGACAAGGGAGGCAAGGGGATGGGAGCAGAGGAAGGACATCAACCCTACCGACAGCTGTCCATCACCGTTACTCTCCAGTTTCCCAGTATTACAATCCACCCACCTCAAATCCTTCTTACACCAGTTCCCCTGGAAAGCAATGCAACTGCCACTCTCACCCTGCTTGCCTTCGGATATCGTGGGTTGGTTTATACACACACACACACACACACACACACACACACAGTGATTTCTATTCAGCCCCAGGCCACAAACTGTTCCAGTGACTGTTTTATGAATGCCTCACTTTTTATTATATGGATCATGATACATGGATAACTGCTTTGCGTCGTCGTCAGCTTTTTGGGTGAGCTGAGCAATAACGATGATGAATTTTTATTGTATTTACATTTTTCTAGCTTGTAGCAATTTACCAGCTGTGTTGAGCCATTGGAGCTAAATGATTGCGGAGGAAACACCGCCACCCACATAAACTGACTACATTATTCAATCCAGTGGTCTTTTTATCAATCAAGCCAGGACCCCCACACATTAACGGACATGTCTGCACTCTGATGCTCTTTTTAGATGTATTTTAGATATTAGTGCTTGTATGTCTGAAAACTTTATACAGCTCAACCGGGATAGAACTGAAATTTTACTTATAGTTTCGAAGGCTCAGAGAGAGAGAGAGAAACCAGGAACACAAAATAAAAATTCTCCATGATCTACCCCGAGCCAACAAGCAGGAAACCTCTGTGCCATCTTTGGCTCAGGTGGGATATGTCGGCTTTTTTATCACCTGAAAATCTAGCAGAAAATCTGCAATGCTGTCTTGTCTACTAAAAAAACAAAACATAAATTGGTTACAATTCATTCAGAACTCTGCTCCCCAAGTGATGTCTAGCACCAGAAATAAGTTATTGAAGTACAGAGAAATATTTAGTGATATAACCTGGTCAATAATGATAATAATGTTTCCACATTTGTATATATTTAGCTATTATAACGGTGTATTCTTGGTCTTGGAGACAGCAGTTGACCAAACAATCCCTCCTCAAGGTCCACGTAGCTTTCGATGATGTCAGTGCCATTGTAAATGTTAAAATCTTATTTTTTTTTTCAAGTAGTTTCAACAAACAACGTCACTTCAAGTAGCCTTAGTAGCTTTTTTGGAGATTTTTAATTAAATCACATACTGATATTGTCAAACAATTATATTACATTCAGATCTAGTTTGTTTCATCTATCTGAGATGTTCTTTTACACATCTTCTGTCTGTTCACATTTGCAGCGGAACCGAGGTAACAGCTGAAGTGGATGAGGTGGACCTGGAGGATGGGACAAAGATACAACCTGTTTCTGTCATTTTTCCAGAGGGTAACAACATCCCTACTCAAAACCAGGATCAGGTACAGCCCACGAGGAAAAAGTGAAGGAGGACCATCTTGTGATTTGCCTCAGTGCAGCGTTTCATATCATGTGTTCTAAATGCTGTCTACAAGATTTTCACTGCGTTTGTTTTGATGATAATTTATTGTATCAGAGATGTTTCCTCCCCATCAAGAAGATATTATTTGGTGGGGTAAAAGTCACACCTCTACAACTAAAATACATGAATGAAATTCATCCTCATAACATTTATTAATTATTCTTATTGGTGTTTTGTTTGTTGGACTTGTGTTGAGTGTGGTTGTGTCGGCTCTCTCCAGCCTAAAAGATCTGTTGTGCATCTACCATGGCTGTGTTTATCTGTACATTTCACACACTCCCTCTCTATTTCATTCTGCTGCTTACGTTATATTCACACACTGTCCAGATATCATCATGTCTATATAAATTCCAGTCGCAACATGAGGCTGACGTCTCCCCACAGTCAGTTTCTGAAGATCTTGTAGCAGTGTGAGCAAAACCCAATTTTGTGCCAGATCTATCTACCTGGTGATCAGATGACACAAACTGGATAAATATATATAAGTGTAGCTTATTTTCCTGGCTGGCAATTTAACAGAAATACTGTCATAATCTATCCCACTTTCCCACTTTATCTGCAACCATAGAGGCATCCAGTCAGCATCCAGAACCAGCAGGCTGTGACCTCTCTAATCTGCAGTGTGTCCTTCTGCTCCACCATCCCTCTGTCCTTCTGCACAACCATCACCTTCACTGACCACCTCCACAACAGGTAACAGCTTATTCAAAAACACTACCCTCCAGTCGAGACATTTACAGTTGGCATTTGCACAGCCACGAGACATTTGAGCTGAGATAAAAAGTTGTGTAGTTGCACCATCACAAGTACAACATTTACGTAAAGGATATGTCTGTTGTCATCAAATCCCATGTGCAGAGCCAAACCAACACTGAATGTATCCTAGTAAAATGTATTGTGTGTGTATCTGATACATCTTATAGATTATTCCGCCACTGAAAATACACAACACTACACTGCTACGCTCGTATGCACAGTTTCCTGCTGTTTGAATAATGTTTAATACAAACTACAGTGACCAGCTGCTTTAGGAAATTAGTGAGCCTGTTATAGAAGAAACTTTATTTTTTTAGGTGTTTTTAAAGGTTTACATCTTCAGTAGGATCCAAGTAATGAGAAATAGATTAACATTGTTGGTCTTTTCATGGAATTTAAAAAAAATAACAAAAATAGAGAATATCAACAGAACCTAACCCCATAGATTTAAAGCTGATTCAATCTACCAACTTTACTCACTTGTGTTTTTCTCTTTGACTCTGCTGTACTCTCCCCCTAGGTTTAAGGTTAAGCTATATGCTATCGCTGACAACTGTCTGTTGACAGTCTGGCCCTTTATGGCCCTGCACCGCTCCGAGCAACAGATAGTTCTCAAGACTGGTACTGTATAACAACGCACACACAATTCTGTGTACCTGTATGCAGCATAACTAGACTGAAGGACTGTATAACCAGTTCAACCAATCCAAACTGTGTAAACATTATTTTGTAGCAGAAAACGTTTCACTATTTTTAATAAAAAATATGGCCTAGTGACAGCGGCAAGTAATTAAAAGTGATGCGTAGTGAAGCGTAGTTAATCATTTTTTATGGGACGTGAGTGGTTTGCGTCTCATGGTAGTGTAGCTGACAGAATATGATGTGTGGTTGTTAAAAAATCATGCTTTAGCTATGATAATTTATTCAATGCATTTCTCCTTGCATCTGATTGGTTTATCACTCATTTAGGGGCCACAGCTGTTGAGGCTATCCTCCAGCGGTATCACACACCAAGTCCTGCCTCTGGTCCGACTTCATCAACCTCCTCGTTGTTTGATCACAACAGCTCAACAAACAAGAACTCAGTCTCAGGTCAGAAAATGAACTGTACCATGTATGTGTCTTTGTGTGTGTGTTTGTAATTGTTTGAGCGTATCTCCTTATTTTTGTATATTTTCTCCTTTCCAGATAGTGACAGTCTGAGCGGTCAGGCCAGCGCGGACACAGACAACTCTCCTAACAGAGACACCCTATCCAATCTTGGTATCCCAGAATTCCCTGCTGCCAACTCAGAGGAAGGTTTATTTTACCAGAATGTGTTGTTGGCTGTGGAGAGGTGGTTTAGCCTCTTTGGGTGGCCAAGTGGACCACATCCTATCTCTGTACCACACACGCTCAGAAGGTATACCCAAGAGATTTCCCAGTAGTTTGGCTCAGGAGCCACATTTGGAGATTTGGAGGTTTATGCCAAAGGACTTTACTTTTAGGGACTTTCTTTATTATAATGTGTGTCTCCTCTCTCCCTTCAGAGTTGTGTCAAAGATTCAAATGAATCCTTCCAGTGGACGGGCTTATCGAGTCAGTCAAAATAAAGACTCCAGGTATGTATATGAGTGAAAGTGTGCACATTGAAAGCAGATTTTACCCTTTTCAGTACTGCTTTTATATGGAGATCTCTAGAATAAGCAGAGGCTGTCGTACATAAATGTTTGTTTTTTAAAACAGCGGTGGGCAGTCTACTCAGGTTTTTTTATTTTATTTTATGTATTCTGATCTATTTAGAGAGTTATGATGGGTGAAGGAAAATAATAGATGATACTTTGAACTGAAGCTCTGGTGGGATTTAATTTCGTATCAGTGGGGAAATTGATCTGTCTCAAGATGCAGGAGAGAAAACGGTATTGTATTCTTGTGTCTAGGTCTGTAGTGGACATGCTTCATCACCTGACTGGAAAACAAATTCCTGGTATTCCTTGCTGTCAGACGTTTTCCAGTGATATAGACCAGCGCACCAATCAACTGCTACAACAGCATGAAGCTATGCTTGCTTTTCTCAGGTAGGCCTTACACACATAGATACAATGCTACAATGCTGCTGACATTGTTTGCCTCCTGACCAAGGTCCCTTTCAGACATGCATTTTGTTACATATATGTGACAGCAATCTTACATCTTGGTCTTCAGTTTGAATAAGTGAAAGTCAGTTTTCAACAGCAATCTTGCTAGGTTGGACTTTATTAATATTTCTTCCAACATGGCACAAATATGAATTGAATGGCATCACCAGTACAAGGTACAGTAAGTCCTGCAACACTCTAGATAAGCCTGTTTGAAGTTACTGAAGAGATTTTTCTCATTTCAAACTAGTATTAAAAAGCACTCCCTCCCTATATTTTCAGTTTTCATTCTTGCTAACTGTATGGAAACAATAATAAATATTCAGCAGAGCACTTTACATACAGTATCTAGGAATGAAATGAAAGTCCCAGCTTAATGTCATGTCTTCTGTAATTGTCTTCTGTTTGAAACAGAATTCTCTCTCTGACAAATGATGACATTAATCAAAAAAATATATTAGTGAATTCACTGTGAAAAGGGAGGGCATGCTTAACACCCACAATGGTCATTAATTGTCAATTACTTATACTTATTATAAGTATTCACTTAAGTTTGTACGACTCAGCTTTGATAAGTGAAACGTGTCATGTTGATAACTAATAATAAAGATTTGCTGAAATGGGCCGCTGAGGTCTATTATTGTGGGTCTCTCCTTTAATGTCCTGCCATGTCTGAATAAAATCGTAAGGAACATTTATATAACAGACGCCCACTTTGTGTCTGAATGGCAAAATGCCATTACTTTAAGAGATAGATGACTATAATGGTGTTATATTTTATATTTATTCTATTTTTTGGGCCACTAGATGTTTTTCTGTTCATTGTAATTCTGTGTTCAGGGTACAGGGAGCCTGCCTTTGTCACATCAGACCAGAGTACTTGTTAGACATGAAGGAGTTCAGACACTGGTGCTCCCTCCAGGTACAGATACACATGCACACACAGCAATTTGATCCTAGATCTACATCATTTAAATTAAATTGCATGTGCTCTAAATCCATGCTTTAGTGACGCCTCTTCGTTGAAAATCTTATGAAAATCTTATCCTGTTCTCGCGCATATATAAAGTGTAGACATCAATATATGTGTTTGTCTCAGTCAAATGAAGAAGAACATGGTCTGGGCTATAGCAGTGTTGACTATGAGTCTCTGAGCAAGCAATCCTGGACTGACGTGCTGCTCCAAATATACAAGGTGAAAAACGATTTCTGAGTAGTGCAAAGAGTCAATCTCATCTTTATAAATACCAGTACTGAATATTCCTCTGCTCGTGCCCAGGTGCTGGTGTTGGGTCGCGTGTCAGAGAGCGGTCTGAACCAAACTTTGGACCACGAGGATGTAGATGGAGTCCTTCCTGTCAGCTCACAGCCACTGGCCAGTAACATCTATTCATCCTGGGAGCTCCAGTTGCTCTCATGGCTCAACAAGCACTACCAGAGCATGAGGAACGTTGTGTGGGGAACAGGTAGGAAGCACAACATGTACACACACACACACACAGAACTTTTTTTTAACGATTAAAGGTAATTGCACTGAAAAGCGGGGTGGCATATTCTTGATGCAGTGCTTAAAAGATAGTGTGCTATGAATGACTCATATTTAGAGTAACTCAGGTAACAGCTTCTCCTTTTTAATTGGCTCTGACCATTGGTAAGTTAATTTGACAAACAGCGCAGACAGAACTTCTGTGATAGTTACTCTATTATTAAGTGGTGTCTGTAACTTTTCAAAACCTCTTCAACTTTCTTTCTCATTTAAAGTTTTAATATTTTGTGCATTTCATACTTCCAATTCTAGTAGACCTTGTAAAAGCATTTATAATTGAATATCCTGCTGTCAGGCTTGATTTGGTTGGTTTTTCAGTTCACCTTTTTAACCGTCTTAATATGTATTAGTGATTGATTAGTAATTTCTGTATGGTAATGATTCACAGGTGGTGTCCCATCAGCACGCTGGATTGTGAATTTTGACCTGGACTTGACAGATGGACTGGTGCTAGCTGCTCTGCTTGCTGCCTACTGCCCTTACCTGGTCAGTGTGTGTGTGCCTGTGTCTCTGAGTACGTCTGTTCATTTTGTGTGGACCCACTTCAGTGTGTGAGAGTCAATGAGGGATGGTGGTTAATGTCTGTAAGTGGCACTGTGATTGATGTGATGAGGACGCAGTTAGTCCTGAACAAGATTAGGAGAGCCTGCTATCATGCTAAGCACCATTTCGTTTCTGTATGTAATTGTGTGTGTGTGTGTGACAGAGAGAGAGAGAGAAAGAAAGAGAGAGGGGGGAGTGTGTGCAACTTTAAAAGTCTGATTTAGAGAGCACGTATTGCTACTGAGCAATGAGTAACACACAGCGAGTGGCAGAGAAAGTAGAGACAGGTGATCCAAATGAAACATGTGGAGTTACAGATAAACCTTGTCATAGTTTTTAAATCACAATCACCTGCTGTGTTCATAATTAGATCTCCAGCCACTTCCAGAGGATGTACACCACAACAAACAGCCTGGAGCAGATCCTTCACAACAACATCATAGTGTCCCAGGCTTTAACTGCACTTTGTCTCAGCCTAGATGTACAGGTAAATACCATATGGGAACAAAGGGATAGTTGGAACAGCGAGATTACCAGTTAAACCAGGCGGGTTTAAATCAGTCTGACCTCAGTTACCATGGAAACCTGTTCCCCCAGGGTAGCCTGATCCAGGTCAGGTTATTTTTCAGGTTTCACCTCAGGCATAACCAGTCTTAGAATCAAGCAGCCAGACTTCAGACGCAGTGTTTTCTACAAAGTTGTTGAATTAAAAGATGTTTACTATGTGTACTTTTACTTATGTTTGAGTACTTTGACCTTTTAATTGAAAGAGTGCTCCATCATTTTAGCATTGCACTCAAAAAACGTTGTCAGACTCACAAACGAAAAGGATCAAACTCGATTTAGCACAACCAGAGATATCATCTTTTTTATTTCCACACACATTCTTCCTTGTCAAAACCTGGTGCTTTGGGTGTGTTATGGTAGCAGCTGCTAATGTAGCCTGGAGCCTCTTGCCTCAAGCAGAGATGATGATCGGGCTAGAGAGTACCAGAAAGCTCACTTGTTTGTAACTCCACCCCTCAAGATTCCTTTAATTTCAAACTCGTAATCTTCAGACTCAACCGTCACTGACTCAAGTAACATCACTTGAGAGCATTTATCAGATTGACACAGGTTCCTCTGGAGGCACAGAAGGCTTTATAAAACTTTTGTCACATATGCAGTAGTACAGACTTTGTAAAATCAGAGGAGTTTTGAGGCTATAATCTTTGGTTTCATATCATAAAGATCATTTAAATAAAATTAACAAAGTGAAACAGACACTTACTAATATTACCCAGTACTTCACCTATTATACCTATATTTCATTATAATCTTAACAAGGAAACGGCCGATTGACAACCAATCTATAAGGCATTTCCGATGACTTAAATAGTCTCATGGTCCATGCTTACCATCTTGCCAATGAGCTTTCAGAACAGCTTCAGTTTTGTGTTTTAAAGTCATGAATGGTGCATTTTTAAACTAACTTGATTTAGTAATAGCTCAGATCAGCTTCATGAATCAGCTAATCTCTGATTCAGTTCTGTTGACCTTCGTTTTAAGATAGTTCTAGTAAATAATATTACCACCCGAGCATAAGCAATTACTTTGACAGGAAAATGTTATCCAATTAACTGCACACTGATTACCTTAATTAATGACCTCTTTAGAATTAACTGGGATGTTAAATATACTCATCATTGATTATGCAGAGTTCTAGGCAACACCTTCCTGTTGTTGGATTTATCTGAATTATTCATCTGTGTGTGTGTGCGTGTGTGTGTGTGTGTGTGTGTGTGGTGTGTGTTTGCCAACAGACTTTGTCAGACCCTAATCCAGCTGCAGAATGTTAATCTGTGTGTTCATCCTGTATGGAGAGGCTCCTCAGTACCTGCCACTGCCACACCAATCACTCTCTCAGGATTGCCTTGCACAGCACTTTTCAGAAAACAGGTAACACACACACACACACACACACACACACACAACATCGACTTTGGTCTTAAAGACACTTAAATAAAAATTGAACTGCATGCCTGGTAAATCAAATTCACGAGCATTGCGAGACTGGAAATGGCTTGGATAATAACCTCCTGGACAGATAATAACACACACGCAGACACATGCAAACCCCGCAACTGGGATCACACACAGTCACACCTTAACAAGATTATAGACACACACATACATTAATAGGATTATAAACACACCCACACACACACACACTAACAGGATTACAAACGCAGACAAATATACATTTGGGTAATGATCCACATTGTCAGGTTAAGCCACATTACATGCCTAACAAAAACAGATGTCAGTTTAACTGCACTAATAAAGATGGATTTCATTGTTGTATTGTTTTCTGGCAGTGGCGTTTGTCTGTGTGTTGTCTTGTCTGTGTTTATATGTATGAATATTGTGGCTATTTCTATGTGTTTCTGTGTGTCTTTTGGTGTGTTGGTGCTGCAGGTGCGTCTGAAAAGCCCATCTTCCAAGCCTGTCAAATACCAGGCCTTCCTTTTTGGAGGGGATGCCCATCTCTTCTCCCTTCCTGATGGATCTACTGTCACCATTCCTCCAAAGTATGTTTTTTACCCAGAAAATGAAAATCACTTTGCACTTTTATTAAAAGTAGAATGCCAAGAAACAGGTACAAAACATGCAAGAAACCAGGTTTTGTTTGTACAGTATCTTACAGCACATAGGGTTCTTTATACACACGTTAATGTAGTGAACCCTTTACTGCTATATGTCACTCCTATAGATTCAAGAATGATTAACTTGTATGTACACTGTGCTACCTCTTTTTACGGTAATGATCGAACCAAACCTGCCCACACACAAGGTCAAAGAAACATCTCGCTTGAATGGTTTTATCCTTGAATAAGCGGCATTGTATGCATTATGCACAGAACTGGATAGAGATTCGGACTGAAATGACCTTGCCTAGGGTGACTAATTGAAAATTGCATTATTTCCAGCTCAATTTTTATGCAACGCACTAAAACAGTATCCTCCAGGTTAAAGCATAAATAATCTTGAACAAAGTTTTGCGTAATGAAATTCTGGTTATGAAATGCCTTTGTAGTGTGCATCAACAATAAGTGCTTAACTTCAGTGGTTGGTATCGTTAGCAAAGAAGTGCTGTCTATGCATCTGCACTTCTACAATTGCTTGTTTTGGGCAGACCTTTGCCCTGCAAAGAAAAGGAAAAGCCTTCTGCAACTTTTCACAATCCAAGTTGAGTAAATTTAGTTTTGCCTTGAGACTGTAGCTCATTAAAATGTACCAGTTTTGCTCTCAAATGAGGCCTCTCTATAAAAATAGCCCATGTCCCATTTTGAATCCCTACTGTAGACTCTTAGAAATCCTGTCTTTTACGACAATGCCATTATGCAGAAAAATAGTATTAAAATTCTGCTGATTCATTACTATCATAACCTGAAAATGGTAGGTTATACAATTTAAATAAATGAGTTGTAAAAGCTCTGTGGAGAGCATTCTGGTTCACGTTGAACAGAGACTGAATTATCAGATAATTGTCTGTTGGCTGTGGTGATTTTCACAGGATGAGCACTGAACTGACCATCCACTTCAGCTGCTCCTTCATGCAGCCCATGGAGGCAGTTCTTCTGCTCATCTCCAGCTCTCCTTTTGGCCTGCGAGGCACCACTCTCGCCTTCAATCTGAAGACCCATGTCAGTCACATCACACCCACAGTGAGTATAATTCATTTAAGGGGCTGACTGTCATGCAGTTACACATACTGCACTACTGACATAATAGTTTACTACAAACCTCACTTACTAATTTGTTAATGGCTTGCTAACCATCCATCTGTCTGACTGAATCACCATTCACTAGCACTTTGTGTCTAACACACAGGCTGATAACTAGACGACAGATTGTCTTCTTCCTACTGTTTCTCCTTAGAACATTGTCAAGTGCAAGTCTCCATGTTACCAACTGAAAGTGGTCCAAGTGCCCATAACTAACCTTTTCTCCAAAGAAGCTAAGTTCAGGTAGGTGTCTGTCTCCACGTACACATGCATGCACACAATTTGTGACTGTTAGGACTCCCCTCTTGAAATTAAAGTGAAAGTTTTAAAGGGTCTGTGCATCCAAATTACAAAAAAACACATTTACCACCTAACAGAGTCTATCCAGAGAGCTGTAGTTTTATTTTCCCAGTTTTAAATACTGTAACTGTCTGAGAGATTCACTGCAGTGGAGGTCAACTACATTTTGTTTGTGATGTAAGATAAGATGAGATAAGATATTCCTTTATTTGTCCCACAATGGGGAAATTCCGATGTTGCAGCAGCAAAGTGGATAGAGAAAAAGAAACA